GCCAGCACCTCTCCCCACCCGAGGCTGAAGGTCAACAGACGATCATGCTAAGCTTGCTAACAGTTCCACCCTCTGACTGCTGCAGGGGCGTGTCTTAGAGAGAGCTTTTTGTAGCAGAACACATCCGCTGTGACGAAACTGTGCAGAACCACGTCACCGTGGAGAGCCGTTAACCAATATGCAAATTAGCCTGCAGTACCACTGCTCTACCCATATGCGCAGCAAAAAGACGTTTTTAGACCAAATATTACAGATTTGAACAAATACACACAAAAACATCAAAAGTAGCACAGAAACTACTATATAACATTTTAGACACATTCTAGACAGTTTATCAGCTAAAAAAAGTTAATTTTGGGGTAAGTTACTCTTTAAGAAGGTTCTAAATAGAGTGATGTTTTCACTGATTTATTCATTTTAAATGAAGTGAAGAGCTGCCATTACGTCCCAATGTGTTAACTGTTTAATAATTTGTCACTTGTTTCATTTTTCACAGAATGTATTGATTGTGGAGGTATGGACCAACTTTTCTTCATCCTTCCATAATAAACTATGATACTATTTAATTTCACTGTTAAAACCACTGACATGACCTTCTCCTGTTGTGTTTTAAGGATATTATCGACACTGGGAAGACTATGAAAACATTATTGCAGCTACTCAAACAGTACAATCCCAAAATGGTTAAAGTAGCAAGGTAGTGTGGTGACTTTGTGTTTTTACACAAATATCTGCATGTAGTCTAAGAATTTAATCACTTGTTTGTAAAAACTAATAGAAGGATTTTGGTCTTTCTTTAGTTTGCTGGTGAAGAGAACACCACGAAGTGTTGGATATCGACCAGACTGTAAGTTTTAAAGACTAAAAAGGAAAAAATACTTTGAGCTACCTCCTTTTATTTCTGGCTGATGTACAAAAACATTTTTGCCATCATTCCTTCTTTCTCACTATGCGTTAAAAGGTGTCTGATGAAGTTTTTAATGCTGTAACTAACAATTTACCATCCAAAAATTATCTGATGTGTGTGTGGGTGGGGGTGCAATTAATCAAACATGGTGGAAATGTGCATGACAACAGCCAATCAGAATCCACCTTCTCCTGCTCCACTTCCATTTATAAGTTGCTAATGAAATGCAGACGGAATCACAGAATGTAAGCCAGTATAAAACGCTGAATCTCACCGAGTTCACTTATTTGGGCGAGTTTGGGCACTGCTGCTCCCTGTACCTGCTGTTACCTACTAACAGGCACGCAGGGTGAGCTCTGAGCTCCCCAAGTGTGCACAAATTGTTGCTATTTGTAGGTTTTATGTTTCTTTATGACATTTAATGTGAAATTAAATTCTAAAACTTTATTTAACAAAAGGATAACTATTATGTGAGATTCTATTATTTACACACAGATTTTTTTTTCTTGGTAAATATCTTTAAATACGGTTCAAAAAGAATTTAATGTTCTGAACCACAGCTATTTAATATAGCAGTGAAAGTGAAACGGCCATTATTGTTTTTATATCTGTAGCTAATTATTAAATTATTTTCACTTTATCCACAGTAATCCTGATTTCATGCCACTACCCATAATTCATAGCAGCAGCGGGTTCCATATTTCCGCTCGTCTGTTGTTAATTACGAGGATACACCATCGCTGTTTATAAAAGCATTTTTCATCTAAATTTGGGGTAGATGGCCACATATCGGAGGTGTACATACTGTAAGGATGTTTTAAAAAGAGGAGAGGACAATTCTTTATCAGCGGCTCAGCCGTCACTGCTCACAGACTGATAACATGAAGCCATGTCCCGATGTTAGCTAATAGCTACTACTGACATCAACTACCTCGTCTTTCCCTGAAGACACACACACATGCAAAATCATAAATGTCAACAGTTCTGGAAGTAAATATATTCATAAGCCCCTCAGAATTGTAATAATTTTAAAGAAGTATTGTGATTAGATGTTTTCTTCCCCTTATTCTAAACATAAAATTCACTGGGTGCTAGTTCGCTAGTAACTTTAAGAGATGAACTGGAGGGTTTCAAACAGCTGCAGTCATTTTAAATAAATGATAAACATAAATAAATTGCCTCTAATAACTCTGTTAGAACGTTTTTATTCAAACAAACCGGACACTTTAATAGCCCCTGGGGGCTTAGCTCCTTTGTCTTTTAATCCTGCCGTGATGTAAACAAAATATTTTAGCACGTAGTTGAAAAAAGGATTGTTATTCTGAGCTTACTCACACAGTTAAATTAAAACATTTATATAGTTTTGCCAGCATGTGCCTAAAAACCATAGGCAAAATATTTCTTTAAATTTAAGATTAGCTGCAAATAACATGCTAAACAACCAGGCTAACAGTAGCTAGCGCTGATGCTAATGCCATTCACCGTAGGCTTACATTCAGTAAAAGCAAAGAACTGCACAATTAAATAACGAAACAGGGACAAACCACATTTACAGTTTAACTCACCAGGTACAGATTCAGTGTTTTAGTAGAAATTGCTGGAAGCTGTTTGACTCAGTGGTTCAGACGAGACGCCTTCGGTAACCAGCCTTAGCCCAGATAGAGTTCTGGATCAGAGTGAATATCTGTGGGATTTTTGTCGATAAAATGAAAAAAAGCAAGCAAATTCTCTTTAGATTTTTCAGATTTAAAGCTGCAGCCATGTTAGTTTACGATCCTCCTCCATCGGCATAAAGTTTGTAGTGCGCTATGCCTTTACTACTACTTGTTCCAACCAAAATGTTTCTAAAGCGTTTCTCAGTTTACTTCAATTGTTTTGGCAGCTGACAAATACACAAGATGAACCCGAACTTGTGATTGAACTGCTCAAGCTGCCAGTTAAAGTAAAAACAAATTAAATTTGTTGTTATCATATCTATCTGAATGAATGAATTTCTTGCTCACTGGAAAAACCGAACAGTCGGGAGGGCTGTGGGCGGGACTAGCATCTGTCATGGCAGCCTACCTGCTTGTTTCCAGAAACATGTAGATAAAAACACACTATTTAGGTTCATAATAATCAAGATCTTTTTTTTCCAATTGCCCTGCCCAAATGTATGGGTTTTCAGGCATACATGTGCTACTGCATAAAAGGCAGATGTGTCTGTGTTTATCATGTCACCTGTAAAACTTGTTATGGTGTAATATTTCTTATTTTTTTCTTATTTCAAACTATTAATTTCTAAAAAAAACAAAAGTAATTCTATGTACAATAAAGAAAATACAAATAAAATTAAATGAAAGGTGGCAGAGAGAAGAAAAAAAATCTTATTACATCTGCCCCTTTTTCCTCAAGTATAAATTCAAACAATTATCTTCAGTTAACAAAACAAAAACATCAAATCTTTCTAGAACAAAAAATTATATGGATACAGATTATATTGTTTCATATTTTTTTAACAGTCTAACCTTTATCATTCTTTTAGTCATATACAGTAATTTGGCACTTTTACTATCATCTTCCAGATCATTCCACAATCTGACTCCTTGGATTGAGGTGCACTGTTCTTTCAAACATGTTCTAAATTTAGGTTTCATGAACATCTCTGTCCCCCATAGACTTGAATGTAGATCACTAGACTGAGCCCCACCCGTACTGTCCACTGGTAGCGTCTGTGACAGCATGGAGGAGCAGAAACGGAGACCAAAAAGGCCTCACAGCCTCCCTATAAACTAATAGATAAACGGCAAGCTGAACTGGATCTGTTTCACAGATTATTGGTCATGTTTTTACAATAAATTAATAATTATGTTAATTTCGTTCAACAATCATGTAAAACAGCAGATTTATACCAGAAAAATATATAATTTACAAGTAACAATGATCTAAACCAGACCTGAAATCAGCCTGTATCTTAGACTTTAGCTAGTTGAGAAAGAATGACTACAGACAGTAATAATAATAGTTATTCTTACTGTCATAAAAAATAAAAATATTTACATTTACCAGTCAACAGTTAGAAAATGTTCTCTGATAGGATGAAACTTGTCTCTATTAGCTAAACATCTTCTCAACAAGTCAGGTCCCTCTAACAAAAACCTAAAAATACTCAAATTTATAATATTATTTTACACTCTGTAGGTCTAAATATTAATCAGAGGACAAAGTAATATTTAATAGCTGGTGTTTGTGTTTGCATGATTCAACAG